ACTTTATGGCTTCACGCCGCGCGCCTACCCCCAGCTCAACCCCGCCGCACACTTCCCACACCTCCGGGACCGGCTATGTCACCTTGAGTCCGTACGGGAGGAGGCCCAGGCAAGTCTGCGGATCACGGCGGGACTCATGAATGACCGACACAGCATCCCTGAAGCTACCTACAAACCATTCAAGGTTGGCGACAAGGTCTGGTTGGAGGGCAAGAACCTCAAGTCTGTATGACCAAAGGTGAAACTTGATGCCAAGCGGCATGGCCCATTCACTGTCACAGAGGTCCTCAGCAACCCGGAGACCGCCATCAACTTCCGTCTTGACATTCCTAAGACTTGGAAGCGGATTCACCCAGTCTTCCACGCTCAACTTCTCACCCCTTACGTGGAGACACCAGAACACGGCCCAACTACACGGAGGAACCGCCCGAGTTGGTCGATGATGAGGAGTACGTGGTGGAGGCCATCCTGAACAGCCAGAAGACCAGGAACAAGCGCGGCTTTGAATATCTCACCAAGTGGGAGGGCTATCCAGACACGGCGAACCTATGGCGACTGGTGTCTGCTCTCAAGAACGTGAAGGATGTTATAGCTGAGTACCATAAATGTTATCTTAAAGCGCCGCACCAAAAAAATTACCAGGGACCCTAGACAATATGCTCCGGGCGTAGGCATGTCTTAGAGAGGGGTCAATGCCATGGTTCTGCTGTCACGTGACTCAGCAATATCCTTATTTTTTCCCTTTTCTTTTCTTTTCTGACTTGGCATCTTGGCATCTTGGCATTCCGGCACACGGACCCTGGACTCGCATGACTCACACCATTCACGTATGACTTGGCCCGCTTACACACCCTTCTCTTGTCAGTGGGGCCCAGCTTGCTCAGCCATTCACCTGCTTGTCCGTCTTTGTCATCCCGTTTCCGCACTGCCTTGACCTGTATATAAGACTCTTCCCCTATGTACCTTAGCTCCTTTAGTTTGTCCATCTTGCAATCCAGCCTGTTGACGTTCTCCTCTGCTCTCTGTCTGTATCTTGCACACTCCCGTGCTTGATAACTGTCTGTCTGTGTGACATCTTGCGCAGCTTGGAGGTCCCCACCAAGTGTGTCCCTAGCAAGACCCCACCACTCTCCATTTACATGGCTTTAAGCTTCAAATGTCAAGGTGCGATCGGAGTGCAACCCCTCGGAACAACTTCTTTGAAGGAATTTGATATAGAGGCCCTTGCGAGCTGGCTTAGTAGTGTGGGGTACACATGCCTTGGCAGACTCATTGCCGGGCTTGTCTGTGATGGCATAAAATATTGTCAAGCCCACTGGTCTACTGAGATATGTTACAAGCCAGACATCACCCTTGGAGAGCCCTGCGCAGGCTAAGCCAATTACAGAGTGCATATGAAGAGTGGTGCAAAATTTGACCGATGATGACTGGACTATTTGCTGTATGCAGAGGGAGTGCAAGTTGAAACATCTTTGCGGTTGGCAAGCTATGAGGCTCCTACCAGCCATAGACACAAGAGAGGTGTCCAATTCTAATGGGAAGACACAGCAGGCATAATTGCCAATGGGAACAGAGATAAGCTAGACAACGGTGATTGCCAAAGCCTGGAGAGGGGATTGTAGTTGGCTGGACACTAACAAGGGGATGTAGTTGAATGGGGCACTAACTGTCAGATGAACTATGATATGCAACTAACGATGGTAAGAATTATTATATTCAATTGTTAGTCAGAAGCCTGTTAGACCAGTGGTGTGGCTTTGATGGAGATCAAGGGGCAATTGATTGATGATGGGACCAGAAAATTGGCCAAAAAATGTCATGTCATGGCCCATCAATGGACTCCATTTAGCTAGCTAGGGCCGGAAACCCCGGTGATTAAAAGCCTTGTTAGGCCCGAGATTCCCGGTCGTTAACCGTCAATTGTGGAGGCGGATGGCGGCAGCCGGCATCAGCAGATCGGAGGCGGCTTCCAGGAGGCTCAAGACGGACTTGCCTCCACAGAGCGGATGGATGGATGCGGAGGTGCGGAGGCTGCAATCGGATGCAGGCAGTAAAAAACTAGGACAAAAATATGTACAACCAGTACTATAAATGTACTAGTAATG